TTGTTTCATGGTGTTTCTTGCAAGATTTATTTTCTATTCAGTTTTTTGGTTTTCAGTACAATTATGAAATACAATATTTTTATTCAATCCGCTCTTGAATAAAATATTGTTTGTAATGGCTCCTCCTTTCCACCCGTTCCTCCTTTTTTCTTTTGTGTTCTTTTTCTTTGTGTTGTTTTTCTGGCTCTCTGGTGGATTTTCACAGATCCAAACAAGAAAACTAAGGGCAAGTATAATCCAGCAATAGATCTTCCTGCCCCCTCACAACCTACCACCACCCGCCTGCCTGCCCACCCGCCCGTCACCCTGCCCGTAATGCCTACTACCACCTCACAGATGCTGTCACTCCTCCTCCTGTCTGTACCCCTCTGTCACCTCTCCGGAGGACCCCCCCTCCTTCCCTCATCCTTCTGTGTTGTCACCATGTGGGATAAAGTGGGACCCCCCTTCATCTCCTTTTTCTCTCCTTCCCTTCCCTGCTCCTGCCTTCTCTGATCCCCTCAATGAAAGACGGTCTCCAGAGGAGCCACCAGAAGCGGTGTATATATATATATCAACCAAATATATATATACTTTTATATCTTAAGTGTGCGTGTGTACATGACAATGGCTGGTTTGTAGCCCTGCGCTACTATGGTAATTAAGGGGTTAAATCAGACAAGTAATGTGGTATCCTCCTCTGTGTTCCTTCGTCTCCTGCATAAAACTTTGTCTCCCTTCCTGTTACCTTCCCTTTTTTTTCTCCTTCCGTATCTTGTCCTCCTTCTTACTTTGTGTTCCTCCCTATGGCCCAAGATCCCTTTCCCCGATGTGTTCCAGATTCCCAAATTTGTGCGCATCCTTCCCGAACTCCTTCCCGCTCCCTTTAATTTCCTCCTTAAGACCGTATCACGTCATGTGTTCCCACTTCTCAACTTGTGTGTGCCGACACCCCAACGTGCCCCCTTCCTTTCCCTCCTACTACTCAAGTTCCTGATACCCGATGTGTTCCAATTTCCCGGTTGTGTTTTCCACCTTCCCAAAGTCTGTCCCCGTCTTCTCTTTTCTCCGTCAATATCTTCCTGGTCTTCCAAGCCATTCCCGGTATTCCAGATTCCCGGCTGTGTTTCCCCAATATCCTCGAGCTTCATGTCCCCCCGTACTCCTTTATCCCTCTTAGTTGATGAGACTTTGTCCCTTTTGTGTTCCTCATTCCCATCTCTGTGTCCTGGTCCTGGTTTCCTTTTTCTTCAGTCCCGGGATTTCTCTTTCTTCTCGGTAGTTTGATGTTCGGGGATATTAGCACGTAGGGCGAGCGCTTAAGAATGCCGTCTACTCACAATATCTTTGATTCAAGGGCTCGGTAGCCCACTTTTATTCAAAACAAAGTTCCTACGTCCCTCTTGGATCCCCTCGCAGGGGTTGTTCAGCATAAAATTTCTCCAAGGCTTCCAAACAACGCAAGAACAGCCTCCTGGCTTCCACTTTAAACATTGGCCATTGGCACTTCTGACCCACAGGTCCTCTTTGAAGTGCTGTCCCACACTTGTACTGGTGGCCCCTCAGGCTCACGGCTCTCCTAGCCTCACCAGTTCTCTCCCAGCCTCCCTGGCTGTCTTTGTGTGCCTCCAGCACCCCCACCACCTGAGTCCGCTGTAGGTTCTGGGGAAGTCCCGGAACCTACACCACCTGAGTCCACTGTAGGTTCTGGGGAAGTCCCGGAACCTACACCACCTGAGTCCACTGTAGGTTCTGGGGAAGTCCCGGAACCTACACCACCTGAGTCCACTGTAGGTTCTGGGGAAGTCCCGGAACCTACACCACCTGAGTCCACTGTAGGTTCTGGGGAAGTCCTCCTGACACCTGAATACGGTCCGTTCCTCTTTCCCAGCAGGAGCTCCTTCCCCTAGCCAGCATCCTTCCCTTAAGGGTACCGCTAAAGCCCGGATCTAGGCCTGGGGAACCCATCCTCCCTCCTGAATCACCATGACACCTCCCAGTTCCACGATCCCAAATGTAATCCCGACCAACACTTGCTTCCTGACACGTCTCAGCCCATCTGGCTGAGAGCCCCCGGTGATCAGAACACCCGATTCTACAGCGGGATCGTCACACAATACCACACAGTAGTTGACATTTTTTTTATCTGAACCTCCCATAATGGCCTCCGACCCTTCTATACCTTTTTGATGCTTCCGCAATCCATCCACAATCCTAACTTCCAATCAAAGGGCTCCATAGCAATGTTCAGACGGGGGCCCTCCAGCTAACTCTTTCTGTAGCAGCTGTGACAATGGGCGTCATTGATCTCGGTATAAAGTCTGCCGAAATCAGGGACAGGCAGCCGGAGAGCCGTCAGCATAGTCGGCACACCACTGGGGGGGGGGAGCAGAGCTTTGGATGAAAGCCATCGATGTAATAAGAATAATACCCATAATGCTCTGCACCCCTAATACAAATGTCTCTAAGGCCCAGCTGCTTTAGACTGTCTTTGCCCTCCTATAAGGCTTTAGCAGAGGAGACACTCCGGGGTCTGTGGCTGCATTAGGCACATGGGGTAACTTTCAGTCTGTGGGGTAACTTTCAGTCTGTGGGGTAACTTTCAGTCTGTGGGGTAACTTTCAGTCTGTGGGGTAACTTTCAGTTCTTCTCCTTCCAAGTCTGTCGTGTTTTCCTGTCCTTCCTCTTATGTTCACCTGACACGCGAGGTCCCGGGACTTTGTATATCAAATTGCTGAATGTTTTCTTACTCCTCATTGTATATCTTATCCTTTGTTCTCCTTTCCACCAAATGTCACTGTCCCTGTTTATGTGGATCTCATCCTTACCCCTTACTTACGGCCTTCTCCCGATCCCTACCTTTTGTTGTGTCGGTCTCCTTACCCTCTCCCGAGACTCCTTACCCCTTACTTACGGCCTTCTCCCGATCCCTACCTTTTGTTGTGTCGGTCTCCTTACCCTCTCCCAAGACTCCTTACCCCCTACTTATGACCTTCTCCCGATCCCTACCTTTTGTTGTGTCGGTCTCCTTACCCTCTACCAAGACTCCTTACCCCTTAGTTACGGCCTTCTCCCGATCCCTACCTTTTGTTGTGTCGGTCTGCCTTACCCACTCCCGAGACTCCTTACCCCTTACTTACGGCCTTCTCCCGATCCCTACCTTTTGTTGTGTCGGTCTCCTTACCCTCTCCCAAGACTCCTTACCCCCTACTTATGACCTTCTCCCGATCCCTACCTTTTGTTGTGTCGGTCTCCTTACCCTCTACCAAGACTCCTTACCCCTTAGTTACGGCCTTCTCCCGATCCCTACCTTTTGTTGTGTCGGTCTGCCTTACCCGCTCCCGAGACTCCTTACCCCTTACTTACGGCCTTCTCCCGATCCCTACCTTTTGTTGTGTCGGTCTCCTTACCCTCTCCCAAGACTCCTTACCCCTTACTTACGGCCTTCTCCCGATCCCTACCTTTTGTTGTGTCGGTCTCCTTACCCTCTCCCGAGACTCCTTACCCCAGAGTCCACTGTAGGTTCTGGGGAAGTCCCGGAACCTACACCACCTGAGTCCACTGTAGGTTCTGGGGAAGTCCCGGAACCTACACCACCTGAGTCCACTGTAGGTTCTGGGGAAGTCCCGGAACCTACACCACCTGAGTCCACTGTAGGTTCTGGGGAAGTCCCGGAACCTACACCACCTGAGTCCACTGTAGGTTCTGGGGAAGTCCCGGAACCTACACCACCTGAGTCCACTGTAGGTTCTGGGGAAGTCCCGGAACCTACACCACCTGAGTCCACTGTAGGTTCTGGGGAAGTCCCGGAACCTACACCACCTGAGTCCACTGTAGGTTCTGGGGAAGTCCCGGAACCTACACCACCTGAGTCCACTGTAGGTTCTGGGGAAGTCCCGGAACCTACACCACCTGAGTCCACTGTAGGTTCTGGGGAAGTCCCGGAACCTACACCACCTGAGTCCACTGTAGGTTCTGGGGAAGTCCCGGAACCTACACCACCTGAGTCCACTGTAGGTTCTGGGGAAGTCCCGGAACCTACACCACCTGAGTCCACTGTAGGTTCTGGGGAAGTCCCGGAACCTACACCACCTGAGTCCACTGTAGGTTCTGGGGAAGTCCCGGAACCTACACCACCTGAGTCCACTGTAGGTTCTGGGGAAGTCCCGGAACCTACACCACCTGAGTCCACTGTAGGTTCTGGGGAAGTCCCGGAACCTACACCACCTGAGTCCACTGTAGGTTCTGGGGAAGTCCCGGAACCTACACCACCTGAGTCCACTGTAGGTTCTGGGGAAGTCCCGGAACCTACACCACCTGAGTCCACTGTAGGTTCTGGGGAAGTCCCGGAACCTACACCACCTGAGTCCACTGTAGGTTCTGGGGAAGTCCCGGAACCTACACCACCTGAGTCCACTGTAGGTTCTGGGGAAGTCCCGGAACCTACACCACCTGAGTCCACTGTAGGTTCTGGGGAAGTCCCGGAACCTACACCACCTGAGTCCACTGTAGGTTCTGGGGAAGTCCCGGAACCTACACCACCTGAGTCCACTGTAGGTTCTGGGGAAGTCCCGGAACCTACACCACCTGAGTCCACTGTAGGTTCTGGGGAAGTCCCGGAACCTACACCACCTGAGTCCACTGTAGGTTCTGGGGAAGTCCCGGAACCTACACCACCTGAGTCCACTGTAGGTTCTGGGGAAGTCCCGGAACCTACACCACCTGAGTCCACTGTAGGTTCTGGGGAAGTCCCGGAACCTACACCACCTGAGTCCACTGTAGGTTCTGGGGAAGTCCCGGAACCTACACCACCTGAGTCCACTGTAGGTTCTGGGGAAGTCCCGGAACCTACACCACCTGAGTCCACTGTAGGTTCTGGGGAAGTCCCGGAACCTACACCACCTGAGTCCACTGTAGGTTCTGGGGAAGTCCCGGAACCTACACCACCTGAGTCCACTGTAGGTTCTGGGGAAGTCCCGGAACCTACACCACCTGAGTCCACTGTAGGTTCTGGGGAAGTCCCGGAACCTACACCACCTGAGTCCACTGTAGGTTCTGGGGAAGTCCCGGAACCTACACCACCTGAGTCCACTGTAGGTTCTGGGGAAGTCCCGGAACCTACACCACCTGAGTCCACTGTAGGTTCTGGGGAAGTCCCGGAACCTACACCACCTGAGTCCACTGTAGGTTCTGGGGAAGTCCCGGAACCTACACCACCTGAGTCCACTGTAGGTTCTGGGGAAGTCC